AGTAGCTTACAACAGCATTAATGAAAGTAATAATATTAATTAATATTAATATTAATAATTAATATTACCTACAGGCTATTAAACATTATTCCACTCAAATGACAAGCAGGACAATTAATGATGGGCAAAAGTGTTCGTGTGTGTGTGTGTGTGTGTGTACGTGCGTGGTTTTATAACAACACATGTGGTTCTGGACATGAGCAGCTGCACATTTCCAGGGGCGGAAATCCCAGAGGGGACATGACTCCCCCTTCAGTAAAGCTGTACCCCCCTAGAATCATTTGAGACACAATTAATAATTTTTGAACAATGCAGTAGTATTTATTGAAAGCACAATGTAAGCAGTGCTCATTATAATCATGCAATAATGTGCTATTTAAATCTTAAAAGATTTAGTCCCCCCTCTCCCATTCCTAGTAGTGGTATATCCCACACTCTTTCCAACGGGCGGGGCTGCTTGGCAGCAGTAGCAGCGTGTGGCTGGAACCGCTGTCCACATCGCGCATGGCAGGGCAAGATGTTCACTCACACAGACACAGTTTAACTTACACAAGTTACAACACATCCCATCTACTGTTACAACAAGCCCCAGGCCCAGGCTGATAATATAAACTGTCTACAACATTTCTCCTGCATTGTTCAAAAGCCTACTCAATTATGAGTGCTGCTAAGCTAAAAGCTAATGATTAAGCTCAGAGTTTAGTGATAGAGAGGACAGGATAGAAAGAAGAGGGAGAGGACAGGACAAGAGCAGTCAGTGGCGGAGCAATGGGTACCTGTCTGTAGGCTCTCCACCTGTCAGTGAGACAAACATCAAAGACATGCAGACGAGGAGCGGTCATTACGCGCGACTATTATGCACGGTTGTGAGGTGCGCAGCGGCAGATCTCACAGTACACTGTTTATAAACCAGTTTACCAGTTTAATTGCAGGAAATGTTTAGTTTTAGTTTTAGTTTACTTAGTATAGACATTCACTCTGCCTGTTGGAGAGATAGAGAGAAGATTAAAGCGTCAAACTGCGGTAAAAGATGCTGTATAAAAGACAGGCTACAACTTTTTTTCCTTGTCCCCCCCTGGAATTATTCTCTAAAATTTTACTGTTTATTGTCCCCCCCAACTATGAAATGGGATTTTCGCCCCTGCAGCCACACATCACCAACAGTCCGCTGAACAACGCAACGGGTTGTGAATGAAATAAACTTAATTACAACATGTCAGTCTTGCATGAAATATCATTAACTTTACTCTTTGTAGTCACGTAGGCATGTGTATTACAGTGTTTCATTGCAAAGAATGCATGTAACGGGTACACTTGTGCTATTTCTCCGCCATCTCATTCAAATGAACCAGATGTAGGGGGCGGGTATTTATATGTCAGAGACTCAAGCTGAAAAAGACTTCCTGTTAGGAACCTCTCGTGTTACCTTACTCATCGCACCTAACAGATCCCTCCTAACGCCTAACCCTAACTCCTTTAGAGTTAGGAGTTAGCAGTATACAATTAAGAGACTTGGGATGCAGCCCAGGTGTAACTCATTCAGATAAGTGCACGTCCTTTGCTTTCTTAAATAGACCCCGAGATCGATCACAGATTCACCGATGCAGCAATGGAGAGGATGCGTGCCACATACTTCTCACCCAGTGAGCAGCATCTCATCATGGACACTTATGAAGAGGTAAAACATATAATCACGAAGAAAGGAAACACTTCAGTGATAATAAAGCAGAGAGAGAGTGCGTGGCAAACAACTGCAGACCGACTGAATGCGTAAGTAATCTAAAAATATGCACTTGCTGCGCAAATGAATCTGTCATAATTACAATTAAAGTTCCTTCCACAAATTAACAGTTGAACACTTCACCTTAAAGGTGAGCAGTGGATATAATATTACTCGGGAACCAACTGCTGATTTCACACCAGCGGAAGAGCTCGCCCTGGATCAGAACTGAGCAGGCCAATGATAGAGGGGATACAGGGGGGGACAGCTACAGACTCTGTCCCACCCACAGAAACCGCCCTCTTCATACAAGGTACATTATTCCAGTATACTGTACATGGAATCAGTCATTTTATTAATTCATTAATCAATCATTGGTGTTATGTGGACTGTCTGACTTTGGATTAGGCTCGTTCGAGATGAACTGCGCCTCGCCTGGAAAGTAGACGAGAGCAGGCGGCCGCAGCAGGGGGCGGTGACAAAAAGCTGCGGTGAAGTCGGACAGTTTTCCGACAGTTTCCAGCAGCCTTCAGTCCGTACAGGAAGTCACAGGCACACTAACATCCTGTCTGGAATGATGTCAATTCATTAAAAAAGTGATCAGGCCCATATATCAGTTTGTTTTCACCATCAGTCACACAACATGTTTTCTGTTCACAGAATAAACCTTCAGGTCAGACAAAAACAATCTTAATCTCTAAAATACAACAAAAATGAGTAGTTTATCTAAAACATCATCTTGTTGAGTCAACATCTGAACCAATGAGCTGTTAGATCAGGTGAGAGCCAGGCGGTGCAGTCGGTGGAGAGCAACTGCAGCGCCTGGCTCTAAAAACTGCGGCCGCCTCCCTCTCGCGATTTTATCGCCGTCCACTTTTGTAATACGTCAGAGCAAGTTGGGATGAAGTCGGACACAAAACTAACCGGCATGCATTGTGTGCCGATCACCAGTGATCGAATCGGCGCAGGACTGGCTCATCTCGAACGCACCTATTGTCTTGCAGTGTCAGGTGACACACTGACCCTTCTGGAGCCACCGGAAGATGATCCCGTGAGTGTTATTAATTAGAAGCATTTGCTTGACATGTCTTCAAAGTTTACATTAGGTCAATACAAATTCTATTTAATGTGGCAGGGTGAAGGCACATCTGCAGCAGGGGATGCAGCAGATGAGGAGGAGACACCTTCTCTGGACTCCAGAAGGTTTGCGGTAACCTGCCAGTCTTGTGGAAATAATTTAGTCCTTAATGTATAAGAAGTCAGTGATGTGGTGCTCATAGAAAATATATTTGTAACAGGACATAGATGAACAGCCTGACAGCCTGCCTGGAAATGTAGTGAGTATTGCCTGAAGGACATCCACGGTGTCCACAATTGCTGTGCTAATAGATATGTGTTTTACAGAATTCACAAACTGTCAGACAGCTATATGCTACTCATCTGAGGAAGCAAATAGCCCTGGCAGATGTCAAGCTCCAGTGTGAGAAGAGAAAGCTGCAGGACATGGAGCTTGACAGACAAAAGAAAGACCTTAAGGAAACTGGACTTGGAAATTAAGAAACTCCATGTTACCGATGTGAGGCTAATCTTAACCACTTTGATGAAACAGAACTCCGGCTCACATTAGCCAGACTTGGCCATTTAAGTCTGGATTTGCCTTTAGCCTGCTTGATGGAATACCCCCGTTTTATCTTCTGAAAGTACAGACAAGGGATGCAGCTGTGTAACAGCCTAGGTTGGGTTGCACTGGCTGTCCAGCTTCTCTCATAGTCCTCCCATGTATGAGCACATGATGAAATGCAGTGGAATGATGTGTGAGATTATTTGTCTTTGTTGTTGTTGTCCTTCTTTCTCTCTGACGTTTTGCAACTTTGACATTGTTAGGATCCATTGTTCCAAAGCACATGGACGTGCTTTGAGGCCCTTTTTATTGACCTGTTTAGTTCTGATTGGCATGTTAACAATTTCAAGGCTTAGTGTTTGCACCTAGGGAAAGTTGTGCTATTTGAATTTAGGTTGTGATTACTCGAGTTAATCATATTAGAGCATGTGTCTGCTGAATGAACACACTGTGCAATGAATTATTTATTTGGCCACGTTTGTGTGAGTTTTTGCAGACAGATTTTTAAAATTGAAACATATGGAAACGGGTGATTAGTGTTTGTTTACATTTTTGGGAAAATGGTTTGTTTTTTGGTAGATGGCATCTGGGATTTTTTTGGTTAAAGGGCCCAGTTATAGTATGTAAGTCATCAAAACGAACCTAAATGTAAGATCTGTTATCTGTTATCACTGATTGATTAAAATCACTTCTGATCTCAGTTCCAATGTCCCCAAGAACTGACTGAACTGATGACCTCATCTGTGAGCTTGTCACATCCAGGCTGTCTGTAAAGCCCATTTTCAAACACAGTCTCATTGTAACGTGTCCCAACCCAACCTAAGTTCCCTCTGTACAGTTGGAACATACACAGCAACATCTGCAGACTTCACCCTGGTCCTGCTTGAACCTTTGACTGGATTATAACATAGAGTCATCTAAATTCCCCACAGAAACATGGGCCTGAATTATCATGACTTTTAACTTGAATCAGTAAAGAGACGTCATTCATTAAAATTAATCTGGAAAACTAGCAAAGACACTTTAAAAAGAGAAATGGGAAGACTGTCTTGATGTTAGTTAGCCAGTTAGCATATTATCAACACAATCCTATGCTGAAAGAACAGGGCATATTTATCGTGTGCAGTGACCAGTAACAGATAGAGGGGCTCATATAAGATATAAGAGCTCAATTGATAAAGATATAATGGATAGAGAGGATAAAGATATATGGATAAAGATATAAGAGCTCAATGGATAAAGAAATATAATCATACCTTATGTAACAAGTCTGTTTTGGTCTCACTGCCTCTTGGCTTTAGCTCTTTGTTTACTTCCCTCACTTAAGTTTATATTCTCATACGCTAAGCTGAACTGCCAGAGTGATTTTATTCACTGATGGACTCTACTGTGCCAACGCCAATTCAACATGCGAACGGACCAAAAAAACAAGCAGACAGGTGCCGCCGAGGCGCAACGGTGCAGGATACACTGGTTGACTAGGGCGACAGACAATCGCCAACGGCCGACTGTCGACTTGGTGTGTCAGGGCCTTAAAACCTGTATTTCTTTATTGCCACTTTGATGATGAAAGAAAACAGGCTTCTTTGGGTACTGTGGATGATCTCAAATACATTTTGAGACAATTATGGATCAAGAACAAGCAGTCCATGTTGTACGTATGGTCAAAAACGGTGCATTTATTAGTAACAAATACAGGTCAGACAGGTCCTCTCCACTCTTCAGTGAACGTCTCTGCAGCAACAGAACAAAATGGCTCCATGGTCTTAACAGCTTCCCCTCCCCTGAAAAACCTTGTCTACCATAGAGCATTTTATCTCGCTGGGGTTTCATTCTGCAAATACAACTCAGCTGAAATACTAGTCCACACAACTTGTGTGTTAAGTCAAAAAGATGACTTAACATCTTAGCCCCTTAGAACATCATTAGTTCTTTGACTTTGATTTCATAGAACACAGGAATCAACACCTGAAAAATAATTAAAAAAGGGAAGATTCACTTCATATGAAGACACTGTCTGATCACTGTACATTGTGTCTGCTCATGTGTTGGTCAGGGGGTAGAAAGAGAAATGCAAACTCTGTGGTGATTCATGGCTCAGGTTTGTATGAAGAGGGGGGGGTTGTCCTAGGGTGGACCTGCTCAGGGGCTGCAGACTCCGGCTGTGGAGAGGGACTGGCTGGCGCTGCTGGCTCTTTCTGCACCAGCTCAGGCTCATCCTGGCCTGCCTGGGGCGGGTGGACCAGGACCCGATCGATGAGACCAAAATCCTGTGCCTCCATGGGGCTCATGTAGCGATCCCTTTCCATCACACTCTCTAAAAGGCGGGAGGGGCAGAGAGAAATGAGTAGCAGCTGGCTAATGTACATCACATTTACATAGAATCTACTGAGCAGCATCTCTATTAGACCCATTGTTGTTGAAGTTTTTTTGGCCACTTGGGAGCAGAGCTCTATTCAGCAGGATCATTTTATTAAGGTGGACTGTGAGACTGACAGAGGGAAAGGTGAAAATGCTGTAGGACTACAGTAAAAACACCAAACGAGGGTGATCTTTATTAAATGAAATGGACCTTAAATATCTGGACTTGTACAAAGTTAAAGGAAAAGCGGTGTATAAATGTGTTCAAATGCCCAACAGAGTCAAACTAGACATGAGAGCCAGCATAGGCTGGGTGTAGACATTTGCCTCTTTTCCACCAACATTTCCAGGAACTTTTGTTTCCAGGAATTTATGTACCTGGGTAAAAGAATTCCTGGTAATCTGTGTGGTTTGTGTTTCCACCACACCTCAAAGTTCCAGAAAATGTATTCAAATCAGGATGATGACGTAGATGATTCGGCGAGTGCCCTATATCTAGCTCCACCAGCTTATTGGCCGGTAACATGGTAACATTAGCGTTGGTAGAGAGAGGAGGGGCTGTGTGTCTCAGCCAGCAGCTAAGTTTAAAAGTATTCTAAGATACGTATCAAACTAAGTTAGTCTACATACAGACTGCGAATTGTTACTAATAAGCTCAAATGGCAGCTATCAGCTGAACTGGCGTGCTGTCTAAATCCGTGTGTAAGACATAACATTAGCGTCGTTGGATGAGACACTGTGGACGGTGCAAACTGAATATCGCTGTCTACATGTTTACATATTCATGCTTGCTGAACACATGTATTGATAAAGTACTGGCTTCTTACTCGCTAAGGGTTAATTTCACTAACAGTAATGAGTGTAGCTGCCGTTAGCCCCTCTGCTGTTCACCGGTTAACGTGTTGTGTTGGCGTGTGTGTGGGTATGTGTGTGTATGTGGAGGAGATCAACGCCGGCACAAAAGAACTGATACCGTTAGCGCTTATCCATACTACAGTCTTATAATTAAGCCCCGGGGCTAATTTAGTACCGGGTTTTGGTACCCATCCTTAAGGAAAACACAAACGAAGTGAAGCTTGTAGAAATGAAAAAAAAAAAAATAGTTTGCAGCCGCACTGACACAAAAGTGCGGAACGCTGCAAGTGTGTGTTCCACCAATCAGCATTCTTCAGCACCAAGCCCCGCCCCTCAAGAATTCCGGATAATCTGAAGTCCTACCCCCCTACTAGGTACTTTTTTCAGGGAAACTTCTGGGTTGAGGGAAAGAGCTATATCTAGCTCCACCAGCTTATTGGCCGGTAACATGGTAACATTAGTGCTGGTAGAGAGAAGAGGGGCTGTGTGTCTCAGCCAGCAGCAAAGTTTAAAAGTATTTTAAGATACGTGTCAAACTAAGTTAGTCTACATACAGACCGCGAATTGTTACTAATAAGCTCAAATGGCAGCTATCAGCTGAACTGGCGTGCTGTCTAAATCCGTGTGTAAGACATAACATTAGCGTCGTTGGATGAGACACTGTGGACGGTGCAAACTGAATATCGCTGTCTACATGTTTACATATTCATGCTTGCTGAACACATGTATTGATAAAGTACTGGCTTCTTACTCGCTAAGGGTTAATTTCACTAACAGTAATGAGTGTAGCTGCCGTTAGCCCCTCTGCTGTTCACCAGTTAACGTGTTGTGTTGGCGTGTGTGTGGGTATGTGTGTGTATGTGGAGGAGATCAACGCTGGCACAAAAGAACCGATACCGTTAGCGCTTATCCATACTACAGTCTTATAATTAAGCCCCGGGGCCATCCTTAAGCAAAACACAAAGGAAGTGAAGCTTGTAGAAATGAACAAAAAAAAAAAAAAAAAAAAGTTTGCAGCCGCCCTGACACAAAAGTGCGGAACGCTGCAAGTGTGTGTTCCACCAATCAGCGTTCTTCAGCACACAGCCCCGCCCCTCAAGAATTCCAGATAATCTGAAGTCCTACCCCCCTACTAGGTACTTTTTTCAGGGAAACTTCTGGGTTGAGGGAAAGTTTTTTCCCCCGGTAATTTTGGTGGAAACGCGCCAAGGTTTTCAAAATCCAGGGTAAATGATAAAAGTTCCTGCAGTGGAAAAGGGTCATAAAACCAACATGGAGGGTTTTGTACAAACCAGTTTTAAAAGAAAGGACTTGTAATTTGAAGTGGAGGATTTTACACAGTGCCATTGCTGTAAATGTTTTTTCCCTGCAATAAACCCTAAAGTTTTACATGATTGTCCATTCTGTGTAGTACAAGTAGAGATATGTTTTCGCTGTTTTCATTAATGCGAAAGACTGTACGTTGTTTGATGTTCTGGAGAATGTTGTTGCACAGTTTGGTGAGAGGTGGTCTGAAGCTGCTCTTATTCAGGGTTTGGCTACAAAAAAGCTGATGCCTTTAAGTAGCAACTAACAAACCTGACAGTAGGAGAAGCCACACTGTCTGTCTACTACAGTGGCAAGAACAGAATAGAGCAGAGGCCAGGTCAGGAAGCGTTTCTTGTTTTCATCTCTTTGGCTGGAGCCTAGGAAAACTTTACCTTTTACAAATAAGTGAAAAACATGAATGGTTCTGTCAACAGTGGTGCTATAAGGATGCAATATGTTCTGTGGTAGGAAATGATTTTCTATTTAATAGTTTTTTCAGGTAGTTGTTATTGAACACCGTGGTGGTGTGTTTTCACCTTACACCTTACAGCTCAATTTAGCAAAACAATGTTTGAACTGTTAAGGTGTTATTGAATGAAGTATTTTAAAAATCAACTCTCTGTCTCTCTCAATACAATTCAATTCTAAACTAGGCACAAAAAGTAAGGAAACTTGTGTTTGGTAGATTATTTCTTTGTTGTAACAATGCTTCTTGGCAATAAATCTTATACCATTGGAAATGCCTGTTTATTTCTCTTTTAAATGGTGCCACATTTTTAAGGAACATGCATTTGTGGGATGAGCAGCAGAGCTGAGTATGTGGGTTGCAGCCATGAAAAATTTGCCAAATCTCTGCCAATGCCAAACAGCTTTTTTTTTTTTTTTTGCTGTTGACTCTTGTTTGGTGTTATTTGGTGGATTGGATGATTGAAGTCTAAAGAAACAAGACATATTGGCAATTTAACAATTTATTCATTAAACAAAGAGGAGCCTCAGTAGCGTGTGGAAGAACCATGCAAAGCCACAACAGCCTGGCACCTCCTCCTCATGCTGGTCACCAGCCTGGTCACATACTGCTGTGGGATGGAATCCCATGGTTGTGTTGGTCACTCTGGCGTAAACAGCACGCCCAAGCTGATCCCACAAGTGTTCAATGGCGTTAAGGTTAGAACTGCTGGCAGGCCATTCCATCCTCTCCACTCCCAAATTCTGGAGGTGGTCTCTGATAAACCCTGCTCTGTGGGGGTGAGCGTTGTCATCTTGGAGGATAGAATTCGGTCCCAGACTGTGGAGATATGGGATTCTCTCTGCATTGAGATTGCCTCCAATGATGACAAGCCTCTTTTTTCCAGTGAGGGAGATGCTGCCCCACACCATCACACTGCCTCCACCAAAAGATGCTGCTCTACCAGTGCAGCAATCAGCAAAGCGTTTTCCGTGTCTTCTCCACACTCTGACCCTACGATCCAACTGCCATGGGCAGAATCTTGACTCATCGCTGTAAACGTTCCTCCAGATGTTCAGGTTCCAGTGCATGTGTTGCCGAAACTAGTGCAAACGGGCCTGACAGTGAAGGGCAGTCATGGCAGGCCTTCTGGCAGCCCTGTGAGACCAGTGATTGGCTGCCTGCAGTCTGTTCTGGATTGTCTGGGCAGAGAGCTGCCGGCCATATCTTCCTGCAAACCTTGACTGCAAATCTGTAGAAGACTGCCTACAGTTCCTAAGTGCTGACAGGATGAGGAAACAGTCTTCTTGGGCTGCCGTCTTCTTGGGATGCCTATTTCGCGGACTGTCTCTGACATCCCCCGTTATATGGAACTTGGCCTTCAGGTTGCAGATGCTACTAGGGCTCACTTTGCGGAACACCAGCTTGAAGTTGCCCTATTGCACGGGCTCTATCCAGATCAGTCAAACGTGGCATGCCGATTCTTAGAGCAGACACCAACTGACCACTGTAGCAGGGTCGATGCTCACAGGTGCTGACAATCAGGTGCCAATCAGGCACATGGGGGTACCAGAAGCTCAAAACAAGAGTCAATAGCAACAGCAAAAAAAAAGCTGTTTGGCATTGGCAGAGAAGATTTGGCAAATTTTTCATGGACGCAACCCACATACTCAGCTCTGCTGCTCATCCCCAAATGCATGTTCCTTACAAATGTGGCACCATTTAAAAGGGAAATAACCAGGCATTCCCAAGGGTATAAGATTCATTGCCAAGAAGCATTGTTACAACAAAGAAATAATCTACCAAACACAAACTTCAATAGACTTTACTAGCATTTGACATGTGTTGCCAAAGCACAATTAAAAATAGAAAATTATATCAATTAAAAAAAAAAAAAAAAAAAAAAAAAAAGTACCTCCAGTCATAATTTGATTAATTGTGAACAGCTAAGCTAGTAAAAGATTACTTGATTTCCAAAAGGCAAAAATCTTAATGATGACACATTTCTTAAATATTCTAAGAAAATTTTATTTTTAGGGGATCTAAAGTGACAAGCAAAAGTTTGGGCTACCTGCATAGTCAGTACTTAGTAGCGCCCCCTTTGGCAAGTATCACAGCTTCGAAACACTTTTTGTAGCCAGCTAAGAGTCTTTCAATTCTTGTTTGGGGCAAGCTGTGTTGTGCACCCGAGATCATATACAGATGCAGCCAGGTTACAATAAGCCACCCAGCAGTATTTAACTTATTAAAATGACCACCTTTATCTGCTGCAGCATCAGTGTTACAAAAATATTAGTTATTAAGGAAAGCCTAAAATGTTGTTACAATTGGCCCAGGTCTCCCCTATCTGGAAATATTGAGTTAGTCTCTCAGAATAATGAGAACAATCTGAAAATAACTTGTGCCTGAAAATAATTACTTAAATCATTTCGAAAAAGTTGCTCATTAAGAGACTTAAATTTCAAAATTACATTTACATTAATTAAAGGTAGGGTCTGGAGGATTTTCCAGTTGCTGTTTGTAAACACACATTCAGATTTGGCCCCTCCTATCAGGCTCAACTCTCCCGGGTGTACGGAGCCCGGAGGTATGGAAGAAGGCTTCACAGAAGAGGTTCAGGCAAGGCTCGCGCTGGTGCATGCTCGGACACGCTCGGGCACAGCACCTGCGCTCTCTCATTGGCTGGGGAAATCTCCGCCAAGAAGCGGTCCGAGCTCACAAAAACATCAAAATACAGTTAAAGGGCAGGAGCTCTGCAAACAGACTCACCACCACACATGAGTAGAAGCCCATAGGTGATGATTAAGCAGGATTTCATTTGTACATGTCTATATTTTTTGTTTGAAAATCCTCCAGATCCTACCTTTAAGAGACAAAATCATTTTTTTAGTTTATAATGTGAAGAATTGTAAAATGTCATTTTTATGTGGTAGTTCAAACATCGACAGTGACGATGTGTTGAATGTTTGCATCAAAAGTTTGTATAGCCCACTTAGTGTAATGATCTGAGTGACTGGGAAACCTTTTCAGATGGAAACACTCACCCATTCAGAGGGAATGAAAAGGTTCATGCTAATGCTAATTATGTGTTTGAGCTCTCTCACCTTCCAAGATAAACAGGACCACATTATGTCGCATTAGTGAAAGTACCACGCTCCTTTTCAGTTAAAACTCTGCAGGCTACGTGCAGCTTGACCATTGTTGCGACTGCATGTGAGGATGAAATGCCAATTTCAGCCTGTGATCTCTCACTGACTGACTGACAGCCTCATCCAAGTGACATTTTACAATTCTTCATATTTAAAACTAACGAAATTCGTTTCTGCACATGGTTACAATTCTCCTCTGCTCTCTGTATCGCGCTCGGCGGAGTCGTGTTGGCAACCATGCGCCACTCCGCACCGACGCGCCTCTGCCACCGTACAGTCACAGATGTGTTGCAGCATGACACGATCCATCAGACACATGAACGTGCTCAAATGGTCATCAATATTACGGCGTGCAGGTGCATTTGGGCCAGCTACTTCAGTCAAGATGTGCTGTGACTGTGCTCTCCCAGTGCGTAATCCTTGCTGTGTACGCTTCCACACAGTCCCATCTTTTCCAGTTGCATGGCCCTCACACAGATCTGGTTGATCCGAACTATACAAAATACAATTTGTTTCGCAAGTGCAGTAATCATACTAGAAACTAGGCTACTGTACAACATCATATGTATGTATGTATGTATGTATGTATGTATGTA